CATTTATAGTGAAAAAAGAGTTAGTACGAATAAATGGTGAGTACCTGCAGCGAAGGTAAGTTATAAGTAGAATTCTGCAGGGATCTGTGCCGAGACCTGTGTTATTTTACAGTATTTGTAAATGACCTGGCAAACAGCCAAGAACTGAGGAGGCAGTAAATGTAATTGTAATGATAGTTTTGTGGCATAGTGTGGAATTCCAGAAGGACCTTATGAAATCAAGTAGCAATAAAACAGCAAACAATGATCAGGGTAGATAAATGTAAGAAAAAAATCAGTTCCTATTCAGGACAGAGATCTTGGTGTTATGATGGATAATTCCATGAAACCGTCCCTGTTTAGTAGCAGTCAAAGAAGTAAATCAACACTGGGAATTACCAGAAAAGGATAAGGAATTAGCAGAAAACATCCACTCAGTAATCAATGCATGGTTCGCTCATACTTCTTGAATCTTAAATAGTAAAGAGACAACAGAGGATTTCTTTTGTCTGTCATCCACCTCTTCCAATAGCAACACAGAGTGAAATGAGACATTTAGGAGTCAAGTTCAAAGCAAGAGTTCTTCAAGTAAGAGGAGGCTGAGTTGTGGAACTTGCTGCTAAAGGTGTTGAGGGTGCAAAGGGTTTGCACAGGTTGAGGGGTGCAATGGACGAGTACCTGAAACAGAGACTCACTCCTGGTTACTGAACAGGCATATAGGCGTATTCTGAGCTGCAAAGTGAGACTGAAAGAGCACTAAGAGGAAATACTGCATATGCTTGCCCTTCTCTTACTCCAAGCAGGTCAATGCTGGAGACAAATGACTGACTGGCTTAGAAGAACCCTGACTCAATACGACTGTTCTTCTATGCAAACATACATGCGCTGAAGACTTCAAGATGAAGGCGGAAATAAACTCTTTATCTTTGGTTATAAATTGATTTTTGTAGTATTACTTTCACCTTTACTTGTCATATATGACCTTCCAATAAATTGGCTTTCTTTCTGAATAGAAACAAGTATAACCAGGGAATATGTTTGAATTTTGAATTTTTCAATTCAGTCTGTAACTCAGCAGGTAGAAAGAAGTCACTTTGCACTTCATGTGATACCCACCAGCATCCATTTCAGACAAGTGGGACTGAATAGAAGTCACAGCATGAAAAGTAGACAAAAGTGAATGTGATGGGGAAGAAAACAATAGCTCCTACCTGGACTGTTTAGACCAAAATGTCAGCATTCAGGAATATCCTGTAGTTCTTGTTCTGCCCATTTCACTTTCACCAGAGATACACAAGTGTATGCATAACTGCAGTGCAAAAAGTTCACTTGTGAATCGATGACTTTGACCATACAGTGGAACATTTCAGAAGAAAAACATTGTGAAGAGGAGCCAAAGGAGATGCTATTGTAAAGTTACATAGCTCTGGAAGCACAGCCAACAAAAGCTGATTCTATTTAGGAAGAGGAATCAGTTGATTAAGAAACAAGGATGTGTTTTTGTTTAAACACTCAGAAAGACTATACTTTTACTAAAATATTTTGCTTTTTGGCTATTTATGAAGAGAATGTCTTAAGAATGTAATCCACAAAAGCAGAAATACCTCTTCTACACAAGCAGTTTGTTAGCCCAGTTGTAATGCTCTTCCCAGCAGGAAAGGAAAGGCACAAATGAGGCTTGAGAAGGGCATGAATGAAGCTTGAATTCCCCAGTCCAGGACTCAGCACATTGTGTTCGACCCCACATAAACATTTCTATTACCAAATCAACAACACTGGCACAAGAGACACACTAAGTACCACTATGCTTGATAACTCCGTCAGAACTTGTTACCTATACCTTTGTCTAGCAAAAGAAACCAGTGGGGGACTGTTCTCTGGTCCTGACACCACGTGGCAAGGTCTGCTGCGTACAGCCTACACCAGAGCTCAGTTCAGGTCTCCTCTGTGCTCCACAATGTCCCTGAAGCTCTAGGACAACAATTTACTTTTATGTGCTTATTCCAGGTGTGTTGAAAATAAACCACGGCTACTGTGTTACAGCCTGCAAGAGCATTACAGCCTGCAGCATGAAGCAGAGTTCGTATTTCAAGTCCTAGGGTGAAGCTAAAGAGCATAGGGGATATCTGAGGGTTCAAAACATGCTGGAAGAGTTCTGGAGCCATGTGAAGGGTGGAAACAGCCAAAGCTGATTCAGCCTTGTTCGTAGTGTTTACTGGGAGCGGTATTCAGCACACACAATCCCACAGTCATGCCTGGGATCTTAAAGACTGTCTATGACTAAAAGACAGTTGGGGTCCATTGTACGAGGCTCGTTCCTCACCAGTTTTATTAAGCAAATCAGATCATTGGTGTGCTCAGCATACGTCCTGGTGTGGCCCCAGTATATTTTGTAGATTTGCTCTGATTTGCGCTGGAGTTTCTCAACAGACTACCAGAAATGAAGGTGAGTGACACCTTTATCTGATCATTTGACTGATGTCACTAGATTGCCTGCTACTCTAAAATTCATGCCTAAAGGAAATTGGTAATTTGAACTACAGATATGGCTGCATTTCTACATGCTCCTCCATTGCCTGACTTCAAGATCATTTTTGATGATCTTTCTCAGGCTAGTGGAAGGTCTAAGATCCCTCTGTGAAGCAAAGGTTAAATATAAATTGAATACATCATGCCCAGAGTATAAAGCTCTTTGTCTTTGTTCTGTGGTCTTTCTAATTCTCAGCCTGACTTATAAAACTAAGATGTATAACGCCAGGGATCAGCCTAGAACTTTGGCCTGTCATGCATTGTCTGTGAAATTCTTTTTTCCCTTTTACTATTTCTTAGTGCTGTGGCAGATGAATGAGTGGATGTATTATGTGTGTATATGTGTGTCTGTCATCCTCCGTGAGTGTGTCTGCTTCTGTCCTTGACTTACTTTTCTTCTTTCTTCATGTTTCTTTTTTCTTCCTTTTTACAATATCTCAGTTCTAGTCAGACCCTCTCTGTTCAACACTTCTTTTATTCCTAAAACACTCATAATGCTATTCAGAGAATATCTGTACAGAAGGAATAGACAGAATACAAACAGAGTGCTTACCACTGTGTAAATGATGTGCTCCCTGAGATATTTTCATGCACTGCACGCACTGTTGTCCTTCACTTAAATTATGAAATAAAAAGAAATGTATCTACCTTTCTTTTGAATTCTTGAAATAAGTTTGAGCAATTATCACTGTATATTTGTCTTGTTAGGTTGAAACCAGTAATAAAAAGGCTAGAAACAACAAAGACTTAGACTCAATAGGAAATACGAATGTGTCTGGTTCTTCAGGAACTGACAAAAGAAGCATGCTTTTACAGAGAATAGGTTACCAAGTGAAAGCCATAAAATCTCCTAACTTACCAGTATGAACATTAAGATTCTTGAGAGTATTTCAGGCATATTCAAAAACATTTTAATTTTGGATATTATTATCAAGGATTACATAATGTTAATCTCCCACTACCAAATCACCCAGATCACAAATGCCCAGCTCCTGTTCTCACAGATGAGGCTTTGTCTGAGCCAATGAAGGAAACAATATCCTTTTTAAGGACTGTGCCTTCTTCACTGGCTTGAGGACAAGTAAAACGGCCTCTGTGACTGACTGGTTGCAAGGCAACATAAGCATACATGTTGGGAATAAAACCTCTCTTTCTCCTGATCCCTACCAGGATTCAGTTTTGGGGATTTACTGACAGCATCACAGTAATCGCTTTTTGGTAATCACTTTTTGGGACTGTGAGTAGCTTTTCCTCTTGCGGCAGGATCAGATCAGTCGAGGCGGGGGAGATCTATTGGGTTTTCCCTTGTTATTTTTGAACTTTTAAAATGTATTTCCTACAGCAGTCTACAGATCTAGTGTGCATAGTAGGGTATAAATGCATGCTGTCCTATAATTTGATAGACTGCCTGCCCCACTCCCCACTCCAGGACAAGGAAGACAGGGATAAACTGGAGCAAGTTCAGTGGATGGCGGCCATGACAGTCAGAGGCCAGAGCACTTGCTCTGAGGAGAGGCTGAGGGCGCCAGGCTTGTTCAGCCTGGAGAACAGGTGGTGTCTAGGGGGACTGAATGGCAGCCCCCAGCTGCTACTGGGAGGTTGACAAGAGACAACAGATATAACTACACCAAAATAAAACAGGCTCAAACTGGGTAAAGACCTGACTGGATAAAGCCTTGAGCAACCTGGTCTGACCTCACAACTGACCCTGCTTTGAGCAGGAAGTTGGTCTAGAGACATTCTGAGGGCCCTTCTAACCTGAGCTATCCAATGATCCTATCTCCAATACCTCCTGTTTAACAGAACAGCTAGTTCCCTCACAATTTGGAATAAGACACAGATGAAGCAAAAGCTTCTTTTAAAGAACGTGCTTAGCATGGCAAAGCAACAACTTAATTTTTCCAAGTCTTTCACTTGCAAGTGGAAGGAAGAAATCATCCCAAGAGCATCACTGGTGACCAAAAGCTCCTAAAGCATCCTACCCCTTTAGTGGAAAGAATTCCAGAAGTGCCCTTGCTCTCCCTGGCTGGGGGTCACACCACATTCCAATATATGTTATTTCTTCCTGTGGTAGCACAGGCAGAAGAACTCAGTATAGTATGATTAGCTGCCAAGCTACAGACTGTAGAAAAAGAGTCAAAGCTTCCCTTGAACTGCAAAATTGTTCAAAATGTTCACTGGAAGCACCATTCACTAACACAACACAAATGCAAAATGCACAAGACTACCATTTTAAGAGGGTGATATCCTTTAGCCTTTAATCAGCCCATCTATACAATGCCCAAGAAAACACACTGCATTAAGACAGTACAAACTGAAAGGAGATTTTTTTTTTTAAATAGTAATCTGTACAGAACTTCCAATACCCCTGAAGAACCTTTCATGAACTGATTTCTGTTGTGTGCAACTTCCCTACCTGGTGAATGCAAGAGCCTATAAATACTTTTGCTTCATCCTAAGGCTAAGAATTTAAAAATATACCATTAAATTACCTGTTACCATGAACATGAGATGCACAAAATGCAAAACTATAGTGGAGCAAGGTTGGATCGATGACAGAACCATTTTCTGAATGTTCAATCAATTCATTGAGATAGCAAAGATGGCGGTGACAGCCTCTCACTCCGTAGCGAGCACAGTATTCATCTAATACAAAGACTTGACCTGGGCTAAACCAACCCTGAAAGAGAAAGGCAAAAAACCCCAGAACATTTTGAGATTTATTTTCCCACTCACAGCTTTAAATCAAACAAAGAACAGAAGCACACATTTTTATCTGTATGACATGCACTTTTTATCCCGGAATGATTTGTATCTGACTAATGCTGATGGCACTGGAAGCTAGATCCAACAATAGCCCTCCTGCT